TATAGTCAAAACTGTGGCGGGCGAAGCACTATCAATATTTTAACGCGCTGTCATCTTCGGCGTCGTACGAACCCGCTCTAGGTCAGAGCGCACCGTTCTGTGCTGAACTAGGACAGTTTTAAGCCAAAATGTCAAACAACACTGTGCATCAGCCCTGGACGCGTTGGTACAGTCACAGAACACCTACCAGGTACAGTGGCTAGAATAGGGAAGTGTGATAAGTGGCAAGCGAAGCCTACGGAATGCACTGAAGCCTCCGAGGAGGAGCCGCGTGAGGGCGCGCGCAGTCGTTTATGCTAGAGTCACTGTATATGCTACCTTTAGATATGCTACCTAAAGGTAGCATATACAGTAACTCTAGTTTATACGTTGTTTGCGCGTTTCCACAGTTTGGTTGAACGCTTTCGTCTTCTCTTTTTTTCTTTTTTTGCGGTGGCATTCTGACACTAATGCTTCTGTATGCACTCTCATGGCACGAAAACAAAGTCATTTCTTCGTCCCAGGGTGCATGCACTACCAGCTACAAGTCAGCTAAAAAAAGCCTGCATTATTCGGCGTTCCGGCGGACGAAGCTCTGTTTGCGCCTTGGCAGAGAGGGATACCGCGCGCTGACAAGCTGCTTCAAGAAAACTCGTCTGTGTGCGAGCTACACTTCGACGACAGGTATATCTCCCGGCACTTCGAGCACACCATGAATGGCGAAATTGTCCGCATTGAAAGGGGTAGGCCAATAGGCGTGCTTGCCGTTCAGGAATGGGGGGGGGGGGGGGGGGGGGCAGGTTCATTTTAGGGCGCCTCCTCTCTATTAAATCAGTGTATGAGGCAGATTTTACGTCTTCCTTCTGGATGACTAAAGCAGTGCTCCGCTGCCTAGTCAATATAGAGAGCAGCTTTAGCGCCCCCCTCCCAGGTGACTATAGAGGGCTGGGGGGCATTGATTGATTGATTGATTTGTGGGGTTTAACGTCCCAAAACCACCATTTGATTATGAGAGACGCCGTAGTGGAGGGCTCCGGAAATTTTGACCACCTGGGGTTCTTTAACGTGCACCCAAATCTGAGTACACGGGCCTACAACATTTCCGCCTCCATCGGAAATGCAGCCGCCGCAGCCGGGAATCGAACCCGCGACCTGCGGGTCAGCAGCCGAGTACCTTAGCCACTAGACCACCGCGGCGGGGCAGGGCTGGGGGGGGGGGGCACCCGCCCACTTTGCCCCCTCGTGTGGACGCCTATGAATATAGGCTTTCGGAGAAGCTCTTCGTATTTTTAGGTGCCCTTGAAATTTGTTTTCAAAGTGATTTAGCTACAACAAGCTTCACAGTGACAGCTTTGAACAGCGTAATTGTTTACTGCTTGAAAAAAAGTCACACTGGGCTGCGCACAACATGGTCCGAGCCTCACCAATCAAGTGACCAATGTTTTTTTGCTCAACCATTTGCGTTTTTACATAAAGGCATTCCACAAGGATGTGACCATCTTCCCGTGAAAAGAGGAAGTACCTGAATCTCAGGCGCGTCACCTAGGCTTGCAACCCAATGTTCTGCGGAGAGCTTGTGAAGTATAAAACTTTTTTTTTTCTTGGGAATAAAAAAAGACACGCGACTAATTATTGAGAATGCAATGTTGTAAACACATAGTGAGTCACTACCCGGAAATGTGTTCTATTACCTGTGTGTAGAAAATGAAAGTTTTCATCCATACCGCTCGTGATTCTCGTCTGTGATTTTGACGTTACGAATGATGGGGCTTCATTTACAGATTAGTGCTTGAGATAATGATGGTTCGCCGTGGCAGGTGTTTAAAGAAATGGCTCACAACTGAGTTCATCGTTCCGCTCTTCTGCCACTTCACAGCGATAAAATGTTTCAGTGCCGTCACTCACTAACTTTCGGCACCCTGTCAATATTTCAGTTCAGTCGCGCACCCGCGTAGATATCCTGTTATTTCGGAAGCTAATTAACATATTTTCTCGGTCACCATTTGAGGCCACGCACGAGCAACAAAATGTATTTGAAATTTTCCATATTGCCCGCGTGCGCAGTGTATTCCCGTCTCTGCGCAGCGCATCGCCACCTTGGGTGACATGCAAAAGTGTGCGAGCGCCAGCTGGCGGTTTCCTCCCAAGGCGTTACGCACTAGACGGTGTGTTCATTACACTTTCCTATTCTAGCCACTGCAGCGTGGGCGTCAACGCGGTTGACGCGTGCTTTTCCTCCACCGGCGCGACTAGACGCTTTTGACGCGTAGGCGCGTGCGTACGCTTGCCAGTGGTCGGCACTTTAAACTTCCGAGGCGCGCGTCTCGTTGAACTCTCGCTTGTGACAGCCAATCATAGCTGGATTCGTGTTCTTCAACAGTCTGTGAGGGTGTTCGTCTAAACTACGCTGAAGCAATCGTTAACGTAACGAACAAAACCTTTTTGTCTTCGGGGTAAAAAAAATCCAGGGCACATTTTTCAAAGCATCGTTAAATTAGCTTCTACTGGTACAGCTGCTCAGCTGCCTGAAAACGCACGCTCGAGGACAAAGTGCGCATTGTCAAAACAACACTCTAAAACCATTTAAAGGTCCAGTACATCAACAGGGAGACTCTCGACAAGAGTTGCACCCGCTTCTAGAGTATCGGTGCATGTCTTCAGAGCTAGGTCCCCGCGGAGCAGACAAATTTTTAACGGAGGGCACGGGCTTCGTGTGCCAACTTTAGGCTACGCCCCTACTATGTTCATCAGTATACCTGAATGTATACAGGGCTTGGACATCGTAGACTAATATTTCGTCGTTGCCCAGTGTGCAGTTCCGTCCTTTTTCCGAGAATAAATCGGGAATTACCTGTTACCTGATAATACAGACGATCCTCAACCGTAACAACAAAAACTTTCCTCGCGTGTGTGCGCGACGCTTGTGGCACCTAGTGAAACGTACCTGGCTTTTATACTTCATTGTGAACATACCGAGAGTCCAGCGCCTTCTTTGTTTTTCAGGTGTTTTTATTCAGGACGGCGTTTATTCCTTTTCTGCAGTGCCTCCTCCCGACCTGACAGGATTATGTCAAAAGTTCAGATTTCCTGCACAATGATTACCGGATGAATTACAAAAATTAGAACAATCAGCTGTTTTATTACAGGAGGTACTTGGTTGGCTCCAATAGGAGCAATGGAGTGATTCATGCCAAGTGCCCATTGGCACTTAGAGATTTCCAACATGCAGCGTCCGCTGATATGAAGTAAGCTCAACCAGCGGAAAGCGAAGCGCTGGTGAACGCAAGTAGCCACAGACGGGCAATAAGACGTCACTCATTGCTAAAACTATTGGTGGTGTTAGTGATTCCACATTTGTTAAATTGCGTACGCGATGTAGGTATGATCCCTGATCACAAACGGAACACACACACAGAGGAAGCGAAGTATAGGTCCATGATCGATATGTACTCGGGATGAGTGACCGTCGTTATACTCTCCGAAGAGCACCTGCTATAAAAATAGTGATGGTAAAAATTACCTGCCGTTTTTTTTTTTTTGAAATTTAAATGTGGCTGCAGGATGCGACAATGACGACACAGTGTGGTTCAACACGTGCGCCACTTTGGAAAAATTGTGCTAGTATTTAGCCACAGCAATGTTTGCGAGGCCGTGTGCGATTTTCTAAAGGAAACAAAACGAATAGAATGTCAAGCTTAGGCATCAATTTACTTTATTTCCAACCGTATTAGCTTGTTGGGTTTCCTTTTTTATTACTTTGATTTATTCTATTTCGAATACATGGTTTACCAATCTGTTCTTTGTTAAAACATCCCTATCTAAACATCCCCGCTGGTCAAACAATTCTATCTCAAAGATGAGGTATCACCCGCATCATAGCTGATTCTCTGTGGTGCGTTGCGCCAGGACTCTGAGGAACAATCAACCAACCAGTAAATCTCACAAACACTCGCACTGCCCGTAATATTACAGCTTTTGAATATACATTCCACGTCCCAAAGCGTTGCATTAGCGTATGTCGCAACTGGAGGTGTGTCGTACGCTACCTTCTCAATACGCACGCTAAGTGACAGAAATAGCGTACGTACATAACGAACGCTCTTTTTGCGCACCCTATCTTAAATTTACTCATTATTGCAGAACATTGCTTCCATTCAAATGCACTGAATGGATGAGCTGGTTTCGCCTCCATCGTTCTTTTTCTCGGCTTCAGCATCGATCAATGAAACGTGCTCATTGTGACGCAGGCAAGCGAGAAGGAAATGACGCATGGGTGGCAGCTGTCTACGAAATTCCTCGCTCGAGTACGTGTTCAAAGCTGAAACATCATCCAGGGAATATTCGAATGATGTAGACGTGGTTCATGGCACCTTTGCTAGTGAAGACACCTGTGCGCCGAAATAGTCGGCTAAGTCTCCAGAGTACACAGTTGGACTTATCTGCTCGCATAACCGGAATGACCTAACGGCATGCCTGAATGCAGGAACAGCGCGACCTAGAAGTAGTTACTTCGTAACTATGGAAGCGAAAAAAACAAAGACAGAAAAGAGCGCTGACTTCTGAAATGCGGTTGAAAGTCAGCGCTCTTTTCTGTGCTTAATTTATTCGCTTCCGTAGTTACGAAGTAACTACTTCTAGGTTGCGCTGTTCCTGCATTCAGTTATGTCCTACCAACTTGCCCAAGCTTCCACGCTTCATGACCTAACGGCATTTCGAATATAATCAACATGCCGTGTGTTCAGGTGGACGCGTGAAGCATGCCTCGCGCGTTTCCGGATAAACCTCAAGAGAGGCGCGATGGGCCGCGCCCCTCTCGCGCTGGCTAGACATCCCGCTGCTGGTGACAGCGGTGCGCGTTGAGAAATCCACCCGAACGACAACAACAAACTGCCTTTCACAAACTCGGTCACAGGACAACAGCCCGCAGCTAACAAACGCGCTGAGGCGCAGCATGTTTTCTCGTGTGCAGGAGAGTTCTTTCCCCCTTTCTCTGAAACCGGGCGGCACCTGGAGATCAGCAGCCGTGCGACGAGTTTTTTTCCCGCAACGGTCGCGCGGCGGAGGAGCGTACATCTTTGCTGCTGCTGGTAACTGTAGTGTGTGGCCGTAGTTGTGGAAGTGGTAGGTGTTCTCTGGTTGTGGTGCGCCGCGAGACAGCATGTCGCTTCGCGACGCTAGGTCTCAGTACACGCTCGCAGGCTGTGCGGCCGCGCTGGTGGCCGTGGTGTTTGTGACGGTGGCATTCTGCACGCCCTATTGGCTCATCTCGGACGGCTTGAACCCGGGCATCCGCAAGTTCCGAAGGCTCGGCCTGTGGGAGGTGTGCTTCGACTACTTCTTCGAGCAGTACTACCGATACGACTACGAATTCCGAGGCTGCCGATGGATATTCGACCGCGAGTACCGGATTTTGAGGCCCCTGCTCGAACCACGTGAGTGTCATTAGCGCCAAGGGTCTAATAGTGGGGTAGTGACGTCGTGAAGCTTGAATATGCGACGCGCAGCCTGGTGGGAAGAAGCAAGTAAACGGTGGCTGGCCGCTGTCTGCCAATTACAGGCGGCTGTGCCAGGTCAGCCTGTATGTGCCATGATGACCTGTCGTCGAGGTCAGTTGAACGGCAGTTAATTCGAATAAGATTGTGTTGTACAAGTAGTGACGGCGCTCATAGTCACTTGACCATTGACAGTGGTTGCTTAGAATTAGTGTTTTGCAATATTTTATTAGGTATTCGTTTGTACGTACTCGGGCTGCAGTAACAACGGCATTGCCCAAGTCAACCAATTCCTCCTAAAAAGTGGCAAGAGAAAATCACCAATGAAGCTGGGCGTCCGCTTTCTATTGCGTCGTTATGGCGAATATTTTTAGCCATGTGTTACGATTGGCCTAGTGCATACACCCCCAAATGCTGATTTCTCAGTGCCGGAGGCGCAGTGCCGCTTCTCAAAAGACGGATTCCGCAACACTCCTGCATCGCTGCATGGGCACACTCCTCGATACTCCACGGGAATGTTGCCGGCTGCGGGAACTGCGCCGTATGCGTTTCTCAACGTTGAATTACAATTCAAGCACGATGTGACCTCATTGTCACGTTTTTATAATTACGGTTCTGTCAGCGCAGCGCGAATGGTAAACGGCATTTAATAGGGCTAATGCGTCGTCACGTGTCATACATGATAATTCACGCAAGTGCCTAATTTAACGAATGTTTTAAGGAAGCTTAACATTAGAAGGTTATCTCAATCGCCAAACTGCAGACATATCGGGCTTGCTTACCTCGTAATGCCTGTACACGCTCGCAAAATTTCTATATACTGACAACGTAACAGAATACGATGCGCGTGCACCATTTCATAATCAAATGCTGAACCGAGCCCTAGCAAAGAAAGACGACCGTTACGCCAAATATATACTAATATACACACACATACAAAAGTTGGAAGTTGGCGCTCACACTATCGTCTGTTTTTTCCCCTTCTTGACTATATAGTATCATTCCTTCACGCTCAAATTGCGCTGCGCTACACCATATCATTTTATCATGCACCAACTCGCCAAGTCAGCAGTATTTGTCGATACACACTACTTATGCGCGAGGACTTTGGATATGTGCGGCATGAGTTCCGCATTATGCGAATATGCAAAAAGTCAGAAGCGAGCCATTGTTTCGCACACGCTGTTTTTTTTTTTTTTTGCTGTGACGTTGCATTGACATTTAGATGTAAGGTAACTGTTTTCTTGGGTACTTTAATTTCATCATCATCATCATCAGCCTGACTACGTCTACTGCAGGACAAAGGCCTCTCCCATGTTCCGCCAGTTAACCCGGTCCTGTGCTTGCTACTGCCAATTTATACCCGCAAACTTCTCAATCTCATCTGCCCACCTAACCTTCTGTCTCCCCCTAACCCGCTTGCCTTCTCTGGGAATCCAGTTAGTAACCCTTAATGACCAGCGGTTATCCTGTCTACACGCTACATGCCCGGCCCATGTCCATTTCTTTTTCTTGATTTCAGCTATGATATCCTGAACCCCTGTTTGTTCCCTAATCCACTCTGCTCTCTTCTTGTCTCTTAAGGTTAAACCTACCATTTTTCTTTCCATTGCTCGCTGCGTCGTCCTCAATTTAAGCTGAACCCTCTTTGTAAGTCTCCAGGTTTCTGCTTCGTAGCTAAGTACCGGCAAGATACACCTGTTATATACTTTCCTCTTGAGGGATAGTGGCAATCTACCTGTCATCATTTGAGAGTGCTTGCCAAATGTGCTCCACCCCATTTTTATTCTTCTAGTTACTTCAATCTCGTGGTTCGGCTCCGCGGTTATTACCTGCCCTAAGTAGACATAGTCTGCTACAACTTGAAGTGCAGTATTACCTATCTCGAAGCGCTGCTCTTTTCCGAGGTTCTTGTACATTACTTTCGTTTTCTGCAGATTAATATTAAGACCCACCTTTCTGCTCTCCTTGTCTAACTCCGTAATCATGAGTTGCAATTCGTCCCCTGAGTTACTCAGCAATGCAATGTCACCGGCAAAGCGCAGGTTACTAAGGTACTCTCCATTAACTCTTATCCCTAACTGTTCCCATTCTAGGCTTCTGAAAACCTCCTGTAAGCTCGCGGTAAATAGCATTGGGGAGATTATGTCCCCCCGCCTTACAACCTTATTGATTGGTATTCTGTTGCTTTATTTATGAAGCACTATAGTAGCAGTTGATCCCCTGTAGATTTCTTCCAGGATGTTTATTATACTTCATAGACACCCTGATTCCGCAGTGTCTGCATGACGGCTGATATTTCTACTGAATCAAACGCCTTCTCGTAATTTATGAAGGCTATGTATAGTGGTTAGTTATATTCTGAGCATTTCTCTATTGCCAGATTGGTAGTATGAATGTGGTCGATTGTTGAGTAGCCTGTTCGAAATCCTGCTTGTTCCTTTGGTGGATTGAATTCTAATGTTTTCTTTACTCTGTTTGAAATTACCTTTGTAAATAGCTTGTATACTACAGAGAGCAAGCTGATCGGCCTGTAGTTCTTCAAGTTCTTGTCATCTCCTTTCTTATGTATTAAGATGATGTTAGCGTTCTTCCAAGACTCTGGTACTCTTCCCGTCGGGAGACACCTGGTAAACAGGGTGGCTAGTTTTTCTAACACAATCTCTCCTTCATCTTTCAGCAGATCTGATGTTACCTGATCCTCACCAGCAGCTTTGCCTCTTTGCATGCTCTCCAAAGCTTTTCTGACTTCTTCTATCATTACTGGTGGGGTATCATCGGGATTACTGCTAGTTCTTATAGCATTAAGGTCGTGGTTGTCCCGGCTACTGTGCAGATCTCTGTAAAACTCCTCCGCTATTTTAACTATCCTATCCATATTGGTAGTTATTTTTCCTTCTTTGTCCCTTAGTCCATACACCCGATTTTTGCCTATCCCAAGTTTCCTCTTCACTGCTTTGACGCTTCCTCCGTTTTTCAGAGCGTGTTCAATTCTTTCCATGTTATACCTTCTTACATAGCATACCTTACGCCTATTAATCAACTTTGAAAGCTCTGCCAGTTCTATGTTGTCTGTTGTACTTGAGACTTTCATAATTTGACGCTTCTTTATGAGATTCTTCGTTTCCTGGGAAAGCTTGCCAGTGTCCTGTCTAACTACCCTGCCTCCAACTTCCACTGCACACTCCGTAATGATACTCGTCAGATTATCATTCATTGTATCTACGCTCAGGTTTGTTTCCTCACTAAGAGCCGAGTACCTGTTCTGAAGCGAGACTCTGAATTCCTGTACTTTCCCTCTCAGTGCTAGCTCATTGATTGGCTTCTTGCGTATCAGTTTCTGTCGTTCCTTCATCAATTCTAGGCGAAATCGAGATCGTACCATTCTATGGTCACTGCTTCGTACCTTGCCAACCACTTTCACATCCTGCGCGATGCCTGGGTGTGCATTCATTATAAAGCCTATTTCGTTCTTATTTTCGCCATTAGGGCTCCTCCATGTACACTCACGGTTTCCTCGTTTTAGAAGGTATTCAAAATCAGTAAATTATTGCGTTCAGCGAATTCTACTAGTAGCTCTCCTCTGGCGTTTCTAGTACCGATGCCATAATCTCCTACTGCCTGGTCTCCAGCCTGCTTGTTCCCTACCTTTGCATTAAAGTCTCCCATCAGTATAGTATACTGTGTTTTTACCTTACTCATTGCCGATCCCACGTCTTCATAGAAGCTTTCAACAGAAGCGTCATCATGGCTGCATGTAGGCGCGTAAGCCTGTACTACCTGCATCTTCTATCTTTTATTCAATTTAATTACAATGCCCACCACCCTTTCATTAATGCTATAGTATTCCTCTATGTTTCCAGCTATGTTTCTGTGAATTAGGAACCCCACTCCCAGTTCTCTTCTGTCTGCCAAGCCCCGATAGCAAAGGACGTGCCGATTCTGTAGCACCGTATAGGCCTCATCTGTCCTCCTAACCTCACTGAGCCCTACTATATCCCATTTAACACCCTCTAGCTCCTCGAATAGTACAGCTAGACTTCCCTCACTAGATAAGGTTCTAGCGTTAAACGTTGCCAAGTTCAGGTTCCAATGGGGACCTGTCTGGATCCAGAGATTCTTAGCACTCTCTGCTGCGTTGCAGATCTGACCGCCGCCGTGGTCAGTTGCTTCGCAGCTGCTGAGGACTGAGGGCCGTGAGTTATTTGACGTATGCATGTGGGAGGTAGTGGCCAGATACTGCACCAGGGTGGCCAATCCTTCTCTGGTGAGGGAGTGCGTTCCCGGTGGTGGCTACCAGTGAGGCCGCACCCCAGGCCTCTTAATGCAGTTCCATCACCACGCGGATTTTTTTTTATCCGGTTGGGAACTGCGCGGCACCAGGATTGGAACCACGGACCTTTTGCATGCGAGGCGGATGCTCTAACCACTACGCCATCGCTGCATATACCTTAATTTACAGTCATCTAAAATATCATAGTACCGTAGCTAACGAGCCCACCTTTTGATTACGTAGTGTTCCGTTGTGCGTGAGCACAATTATTGAACTTAGAGAGCCATTAACTCGACCAGCGCTCAGATGGCGGAGCAGGCGAAGAATCCGAAATGTGGCCGTCGCCGTCGAAGAAACTTCGAGCGTTCTTACCGTTGTCACAATGTGCGTGGAGGATTCGGTTTTCCCACGCTCGGAACAACGCGACAGAACACATCTTACGTTTACAAAAAACAAGGAAAAAAAAAAGAAAACGCTCTAAGAACTTCGAGTGTCGAGACGCAAAGGTTTACTGTGCCACATTCTTAACGAGTCTAAATGTTTAAGACTGCCTAGTGATAATTGCTTGTTTTGCAATGCATGTATTCCGCAATAAGAGTTCGAGAGATGCACATCGTCATCAGCCTTCTTAAAGGGAAAGTTAACGTGAAGAACGATTTTTTTTTTT